TGCCCACGACAGCTGTACCCCCCAGCCACCCCTGCCCACGACAGCTGTACCCCCCAGCCACCCCTGCCCACGACAGCTGTACCCCCCAGCCACCCCTGCCCACGACAGCTGTACCCCCCAGCCACCCCTGCCCACGACAGCTGTACCCCCCAGCCACCCCTGCCCACGACAGCTGTACCCCCCAGCCACCCCTGCCCACGACAGCTGTACCCCCCAGCCACCCCTGCCCACAACAGCTGTACCCCCCAGCCACCCCTGCCCACGACAGCTGTACCCCCCAGCCACCCCTGCCCACAACAGCTGTACCCCCCAGCCACCCCTGCCCACAACAGCTGTACCCCCCAGCCACCCCTGCCCACAACAGCTGTACCCCCCAGCCACCCCTGCCCACAACAGCTGTACCCCCCAGCCACCCCTGCCCACAACAGCTGTACCCCCCAGCCACCCCTGCCCACAACAGCTGTACCCCCCAGCCACCCCTGCCCACAACAGCTGTACCCCCCAGCCACCCCTGCCCACAACAGCTGTACCCCCCAGCCACCCCTGCCCACAACAGCTGTACCCCCCAGCCACCCCTGCCCACAACAGCTGTACCCCCCAGCCACCCCTGCCCACAACAGCTGTACCCCCCAGCCACCCCTGCCCACAACAGCTGTACCCCCCAGCCACCCCTGCCCACAACAGCTGTACCCCCCAGCCACCCCTGCCCACAACAGCTGTACCCCCCAGCCACCCCTGCCCACAACAGCTGTACCCCCCAGCCACCCCTGCCCACAACAGCTGTACCCCCCAGCCACCCCTGCCCACGACAGCTGGACCCCCCAGCCACCCCTGCCCACGACAGCTGTACCCCCCAGCCACCCCTGCCCACAACAGCTGGACCCCCCAGCCACCCCTGCCCACAACAGCTGGACCCCCCAGCCACCCCTGCCCACAACAGCTGTACCCCCCAGCCACCCCTGCCCACAACAGCTGTACCCCCCAGCCACCCCTGCCCACAACAGCTGTACCCCCCAGCCACCCCTGCCCACAACAGCTGTACCCCCCAGCCACCCCTGCCCACAACAGCTGTACCCCCCAGCCACCCCTGCCCACGACAGCTGTACCCCCCAGCCACCCCTGCCCACAACAGCTGTACCCCCCAGCCACCCCTGCCCACAACAGCTGTACCCCCCAGCCACCCCTGCCCACAACAGCTGTACCCCCCAGCCACCCCTGCCCACAACAGCTGTACCCCCCAGCCACCCCTGCCCACGACAGCTGTACCCCCCAGCCACCCCTGCCCACAACAGCTGTACCCCCCAGCCACCCCTGCCCACGACAGCTGTACCCCCCAGCCACCCCTGCCCACGACAGCTGTACCCCCCAGCCACCCCTGCCCACGACAGCTGTACCCCCCAGCCACCCCTGCCCACGACAGCTGTACCCCCCAGCCACCCCTGCCCACAACAGCTGTACCCCCCAGCCACCCCTGCCCACAACAGCTGTACCCCCCAGCCACCCCTGCCCACAACAGCTGTACCCCCCAGCCACCCCTGCCCACAACAGCTGTACCCCCCAGCCACCCCTGCCCACAACAGCTGTACCCCCCAGCCACCCCTGCCCACAACAGCTGTACCCCCCAGCCACCCCTGCCCACAACAGCTGTACCCCCCAGCCACCCCTGCCCACAACAGCTGTACCCCCCAGCCACCCCTGCCCACAACAGCTGTACCCCCCAGCCACCCCTGCCCACGACAGCTGTACCCCCCAGCCACCCCTGCCCACAACAGCTGTACCCCCCAGCCACCCCTGCCCACAACAGCTGTACCCCCCAGCCACCCCTGCCCACGACAGCTGTACCCCCCAGCCACCCCTGCCCACAACAGCTGTACCCCCCAGCCACCCCTGCCCACGACAGCTGTACCCCCCAGCCACCCCTGCCCACGACAGCTGTACCCCCCAGCCACCCCTGCCCACGACAGCTGTACCCCCCAGCCACCCCTGCCCACGACAGCTGTACCCCCCAGCCACCCCTGCCCACGACAGCTGTACCCCCCAGCCACCCCTGCCCACGACAGCTGTACCCCCCAGCCACCCCTGCCCACGACAGCTGTACCCCCCAGCCACCCCTGCCCACGACAGCTGTACCCCCCAGCCACCCCTGCCCACGACAGCTGTACCCCCCAGCCACCCCTGCCCACAACAGCTGTACCCCCCAGCCACCCCTGCCCACAACAGCTGTACCCCCCAGCCACCCCTGCCCACAACAGCTGTACCCCCCAGCCACCCCTGCCCACAACAGCTGTACCCCCCAGCCACCCCTGCCCACAACAGCTGTACCCCCCAGCCACCCCTGCCCACAACAGCTGTACCCCCCAGCCACCCCTGCCCACAACAGCTGTACCCCCCAGCCACCCCTGCCCACAACAGCTGTACCCCCCAGCCACCCCTGCCCACAACAGCTGTACCCCCCAGCCACCCCTGCCCACAACAGCTGTACCCCCCAGCCACCCCTGCCCACAACAGCTGTACCCCCCAGCCACCCCTGCCCACAACAGCTGTACCCCCCAGCCACCCCTGCCCACAACAGCTGTACCCCCCAGCCACCCCTGCCCACAACAGCTGTACCCCCCAGCCACCCCTGCCCACAACAGCTGTACCCCCCAGCCACCCCTGCCCACAACAGCTGTACCCCCCAGCCACCCCTGCCCACAACAGCTGGACCCCCCAGCCACCCCTGCCCACAACAGCTGTACCCCCCAGCCACCCCTGCCCACAACAGCTGTACCCCCCAGCCACCCCTGCCCACAACAGCTGTACCCCCCAGCCACCCCTGCCCACAACAGCTGTACCCCCCAGCCACCCCTGCCCACGACAGCTGGACCCCCCAGCCACCCCTGCCCACAACAGCTGTACCCCCCAGCCACCCCTGCCCACAACAGCTGTACCCCCCAGCCACCCCTGCCCACGACAGCTGGACCCCCCAGCCACCCCCCAGCCACCCCTGCCCACAACAGCTGTACCCCCCAGCCACCCCTGCCCACAACAGCTGTACCCCCCAGCCACCCCTGCCCACAACAGCTGTACCCCCCAGCCACCCCTGCCCACAACAGCTGTACCCCCCAGCCACCCCTGCCCACAACAGCTGTACCCCCCAGCCACCCCTGCCCACCACAACAGCTGTACCCCCCAGCCACCCCTGCCCACAACAGCTGTACCCCCCAGCCACCCCTGCCCACGACAGCTGTACCCCCCAGCCACCCCTGCCCACAACAGCTGTACCCCCCAGCCACCCCTGCCCACGACAGCTGTACCCCCCAGCCACCCCTGCCCACAACAGCTGTACCCCCCAGCCACCCCTGCCCACAACAGCTGTACCCCCCAGCCACCCCTGCCCACAACAGCTGTACCCCCCAGCCACCCCTGCCCACAACAGCTGTACCCCCCAGCCAGCCCCCTGCCCACAACAGCTGTACCCCCCAGCCACCCCTGCCCACAACAGCTGTACCCCCCCACCCCTGCCCACAACAGCTGTACCCCCCAGCCACCCCTGCCCACAACAGCTGTACCCCCCAGCCACCCCTGCCCACAACAGCTGTACCCCCCAGCCACCCCTGCCCACAACAGCTGTACCCCCCAGCCACCCCTGCCCACAACAGCTGTACCCCCCAGCCACCCCTGCCCACAACAGCTGTACCCCCCAGCCACCCCTGCCCACAACAGCTGTACCCCCCAGCCACCCCTGCCCACAACAGCTGTACCCCCCAGCCACCCCTGCCCACAACAGCTGTACCCCCCAGCCACCCCTGCCCACAACAGCTGTACCCCCCAGCCACCCCTGCCCACAACAGCTGTACCCCCCAGCCACCCCTGCCCACAACAGCTGGACCCCCCAGCCACCCCTGCCCACAACAGCTGTACCCCCCAGCCACCCCTGCCCACAACAGCTGTACCCCCCAGCCACCCCTGCCCACAACAGCTGGACCCCCCAGCCACCCCTGCCCACAACAGCTGTACCCCCCAGCCACCCCTGCCCACAACAGCTGTACCCCTGCCCCCAGCCACCCCTGCCCCCAGCCACCCCTGCCCACAACAGCTGTACCCCCCAGCCACCCCTGCCCACAACAGCTGTACCCCCCAGCCACCCCTGCCCACAACAGCTGTACCCCCCAGCCACCCCTGCCCACAACAGCTGTACCCCCCAGCCACCCCTGCCCACAACAGCTGTACCCCCCAGCCACCCCTGCCCACAACAGCTGTACCCCCAGCCACCCCTGCCCACAACAGCTGTACCCCCCAGCCACCCCTGCCCACAACAGCTGTACCCCCCAGCCACCCCTGCCCACAACAGCTGTACCCCCCAGCCACCCCTGCCCACAACAGCTGTACCCCCCAGCCACCCCTGCCCACAACAGCTGTACCCCCCAGCCACCCCTGCCCACAACAGCTGTACCCCCCAGCCACCCCTGCCCACAACAGCTGTACCCCCCACCCACCCCTGCCCACAACAGCTGTACCCCCCAGCCACCCCTGCCCACAACAGCTGGACCCCCCAGCCACCCCTGCCCACGACAGCTGTACCCCCCAGCCACCCCTGCCCACAACAGCTGTACCCCCCAGCCACCCCTGCCCACAACAGCTGGACCCCCCAGCCACCCCTGCCCACAACAGCTGTACCCCCCAGCCACCCCTGCCCACAACAGCTGGACCCCCCAGCCACCCCTGCCCACAACAGCTGTACCCCCCAGCCACCCCTGCCCACAACAGCTGGACCCCCCAGCCACCCCTGCCCACAACAGCTGTACCCCCCAGCCACCCCTGCCCACAACAGCTGGACCCCAGCCACCCCTGCCCACGACAGCTGTACCCCCCAGCCACCCCTGCCTACCACAACTGTACCTCCAGGAAAATTAATTTGTTTACTAGTGTTATATAGTTACAGTTGTAATTAAATTAGTAGCATTGCCCTGATATTCTCCACCAAAAGTGAATGATTATAAAGCCTTGTTCATCTTTAGGTTCAGTAGTTGCAAAACACTACAACAGCATTGAAGACAAAGGGGTGAAGGAGAGGAGTAAAAGCCGCATTTTCTTCATGAGGAACTCTAACAACTGGATCAAAAGTTATCTCATAAACTACTGTTTAGAGCAAATTCGGGATCGACAGGTTGATGATTATCCCATTTCTGCACTTGATCTTGGCTGTGGTAAAGGTGGTGATCTTCTGAAGTGGCAGAAGGTAAGACAATGTTCTCTTGGGGAATACCCCTCTGTTGTGGCTTTTTACCATATGTGGGTTTGTCAGTAATAAAGCAGATAAAACTAATAGTTTTCATTTCAAAAATGTATAGTGTATTATACTAGTGTATGCTTACCACACCCACATTCAGGAGGAGACATCATAATGTAGCAGTAGCACACACACTGGAGCTCCAGGAAAATTCAATTGCCAAGGTATTGTAGAACAGGTTGATGAACATAAGTTGTGTCCCAGAAAATATAAAAGTACCAATGTAGTGAATTTGAGAAATATGAGACAGAACTAGTATGAAAAAGTTAGTCAATTTTGTTGATAAAGTTGTCAAAACAATAGTAGACGACAATAAAGATGGTTGCTGGTACTGTATAAGGAAGAACAATACAAAAGAATAATTTTGATGACTTTGATGAGGAAAACTATTAGTTCAAGTGATTTGCACAAGAAGTTAACGAAAGTAGAAAATGTTGTAAATTATTATGCGGAAATAAAGTAATATGAGAAGCAGTAATGAAAACTTGAGCTCTGGATGGTCAAATAAAGAAATTATGCAAGGATAAGGAACACTGGGAATCTAAAGGACAAGTCCTGAATTGGGAAAATAAATCAAATCTAGACACTAGCGAGTACAGTAGGTAAGGCAAGAAAAATCCACAGGAAAAAGAGCTTCGTCAATAAAGTTGGAGAAGGTTACACATGGAATAGAGAAGTACAAGAAGGATATGCAACTTACACGTGGCCAGAGAGAAAGTAATACTAGAGGAAGTGGTTAAGGAAGCCAGAAACTGCAACAATCAGAAGTACACACACATGACTGGGAGTCAGAAGGGAAATGGCATCAAACCCAAAGCAGAAGCTGTGTGACGAACAAGATGGCCTCATGATGATCAAGAGAGAGAGAGAGAGAGAGAGAGTATAGTAGGCGCAGATGAAGATAAATCATGATTTTTGATACTTGTGGCTTCAACTTTAAATCAATAGACTTGGAAGCCTACAAAGCAAGAATGGAAGACTTTTGGACTGGCAGATTTGTAAGCCTCGTCCTAGAGACATTCATGCATGAACACATTTTCCTGTTTTGTAGTTTCCTGTAGTTTTCCTTATCAAAGCCATCAACATCATCCAAAGACCAAAGAGCCAGAGCTCAACCCCCCACAAGCACAACTAGGCGAGTACATTAAGCAAGCCACAAGAATGAGGGGAAGGGCATGTTCCTTCAATGTTGAATATGATGTTCGCCATTAAATAAGAGATATTTGACATTACATTTCTTGGGTAAGAGGGACCATGTAATTTTTGGAATAAAATATGCAATGTGTTATAATCTAGAAGAGAGTGAAGAAGATGAAGCAGCTGAAAAACTTAATTTCATGAGAGGACACTGTGGGGAACTTAGCAAGTTCTACAGTATAATCAATTTGATTAAATGACTTGTTAGGCAACAAAGTAAATGGGATGTATGCCAAGTGTTGTGGGTTATATGATAGACAAAGAAATGTACTGTATATCAAAACAGAGATGCAGAACTAGAAAACAGGATTGCTTCAACAGAAATTGCAAGAGCGCCAGAGAAGAGACAAAAATGAAATCGATATAGGAAGAGGCCAAAGCCTCAAACATATCAGTAACACAAAGCAGCAAGAAACAGCTACATGACAGTGAGAAGAGAGGCAGAAAGAGGTTTTTGTAACTGGATAACAGACAAATGTAAAACAGGACCAGGACTAGTCTATGAATTCATTAAAAGCAAATTGCAAGTAAAGAATAAAATTCAGAGGTTGAAAATGGGAAACACATTCATGGAGAATGAAAAGAAATTATGTGAAACATTAAACAAACGATTCCAAAAAGTGTCTGTATAAAATATCAGAGAACAGGGTGTAATACAAATTTGAGAGAATAACATAATGTACTGTACATAGGTGTCTTGAGATGAAGTGTGGGAAAAAGGCTCAAGGAGCTAGGTAGAAACAAGGCAGTTGACCCAGTTGGCGTTTCATCTTGGGTTCTGAGAGAATGTGCATCTGAGCTCTGCTGCAATTAATTTTTCAGTCATCTTTGTGTACAGGGGTCTTGGGAGATATATATAGAAAAAGGCTACTTTAGTTCCAGTCTACAAAAATGGTAGCAAGGAAGACCCTCTTATAGACATGTATCATTGAGAAGTGTAATAGTCAAAACATTTAAAAAATTATTAAAACCACATGAGTAGGATACCTGAAGAGAAATGATATAACCAGTGAAGAGCAGAGGTGCCATAGGCACAATCAGAGAACACTGTATAAACATCAGAGGTCCGCGGTTGTTCAACGTCCTCCCAGCAAGCATAAGAAATATTGCCGGAACAACCGTGGACATCTTCAAGAGGAAACTAGATTTATTCCTCCAAGGAGTGCCGGACCAACCGGGCTGTGGTGGGTATGTGGGCCTGCGGGCCGCTCCAAGCAACAGCCTGGTGGACCAAACTCTCACAAGACAAGCCTGGCCTCGGGCCGGGCTTGGGGAGTAGAAGAACTCCCAGAACCCCATCAACCAGGTATCAACCAGACAGTATGGTTTTCAATCAGGAAAATCCTGTGTAACAACTCTGCTTAGTTTCTATGACAGCCACAGAGATTTTACAGGAAAGAGATGACTTGGGTCGACTACATTTATCTGGACCAAAGGGGCTTTCAACAGAGTCCCACATAAGAGATTGTTTTGGAAACTGGAACATACTAGAGGAGTGACAGGGAGATTTCTGACATGGATGATTAATTTTCTGACAAAAATGATGGCAGTAATCGGGCAATGTATCCGATTGAAAGAGTGCTACTAGCGGAGTATCACAGGGTTCAATTTTTGCACCAGTAATGTTCATTGTCTACATAAATACTCTACCAGATGGAATACAGAATTATATGAATATGTTTGCTGCTGGTGCTAAGCTTCTAGGGAAGATAAGAAACAATTGTCATGCTCTTCAAAATGACCTAGACGAAATATGGTAAGTGAATGGAGCACCATGTGGCAAATGGAATTAAGTGAATAAATGCCATGTTATGAAATGTGGACTAGGAAAAAATAGGCCAGATAAAACCTACAAATTATTTGCAAAGGAATTAAAGATCTCTAACAAAGATTTCATGGATTGGTTCTGGTTGACTGTCACTAGACAATCGCACAAAGGACATAGTGCGAGGCGCATGTGCTGTGTTTTCCAACTTCAGAATCTGTTTTAAATTCATGGTGAAGTACCAAAGTACATGTGAAAACCAAAGAAACTGTTCATGACTTTTGTGTGACCAAAATTGGAATATGAAGTAGGTAAGGAGTAAAGGTAAGAGGCTTGGGTCAATAACTTATCCATATAAAGATTAGTCAGGTGTAGTGTGCATGGTATTTTGGCTAGCGATGTCATCGTTGGCATCTTCATGTTCCAGTCTTGCTTTCACTCTCGTAGTTGGTAGAGCGAATAGTTCCGTTATTTTATTTTTTATGGTGGGTTGTTTGACTTTTATGTGAAGAGCTTCAAGAAGTTGTAATCATCTTACTTCTTGGGTTTTGTCTAATATGCAAGTGCTCTTATTCGGCATTTCTCTTGTTAGGGTGATGTCATGGGCTTGTCTCATGGTATTTTTAGGGGCACCTGATTGATGACAGGTCAAACGCCCTGTGAGCTTGGTTGACGTCTTACCTATGTACTTAGATTGAAGGTTACATCCTTCGTGGGGGCAGGTTTACATATATATTACATTCGACTGCTGTAAAGGGTTCTCGGTTGACTGAGTTGTTTTTAGTGAGGTCATTGATCTTCTTTGTTTTATATTATATGATGATGTCTGTGTTTTGGTTAAGGGTTGTGCTTTTTATGCCTTTATGAATTATTTCTTTCATTATTCTCTCTTTTCTTATATTCACTGTACATGGTGGATTTGTAATATTATTTTATTGGAAGTGTTGTGGTTTGTTCTTGGTTCCAGATTGAATAAAGAACTTGGACTTCCAGTCCAAGTGTTCTCTTATAGTAGTGTTACCCTTGTGGTTACTGTAGCCATTGTTCACCAATGCTTGTGTTATCCTTTCAAACTCACATTGCTCCATCCAGAGCAGTGGTAAGCACTCGGTGAATATAAGCATTGAAAACACTGGCTTTATATCTTTGGGGGTACTCACTCTTGCCGTACCTCCTCTTCCTTTCCCTGCAGGTGTGGTTTGCCCTATTTTTGGTTTTCTCCCCCCTGATTCCAGCTTCTAAGTGTCTGAGTGTTTCGTAGTTAAGTTGGGGAGTAGCTTTGGGTGCAGCTTGGCGTTATCCATGGATGGTCCCTACCATATCAGCCTTCTCCGTGGGAGGACACCCAATCACAGGTGTTGGGCAAGGACTGTGGCCTCAATGGCAGGCTTCCAGGGTTGACAGGGAAGACTGAGGAGTGCCCATGGATGCCTTTCAGCCCTGATTGGGTCTTGGTGCCCTCTGCAGAGGGTCTTATGTTACAGGGGAATCATATTATTCTCCTGCCATGTATGAGTTGGATCGTTCAAATTCTCCCCCTCCGGTTAATTTCCGGGTCCTGGTAGGCAGTGTAGATGCATCCTTTTTCTGAAAATTTCTGTTCTCCCATGCTGTGTCTTCAGTGTTTTGTGCGAATTAGCTTCGGTACTTCCTGCAGAGTCAGACCTCTTTTTTTGATGATTGACTCTCTCTTTTTAAGTTCGGATCAATCTTCTCCTTTTGGTACCAATTTGAGGTCATGGGCTCATCCTGGTTGGCTGACAACCCTCTTCTTTTCTTGGGGTCATGGCAAAGGTTCTGTTGTTCCTGTTCACATGGGTAGCGGGAAGGGGGCACCATCTTTCAGATGTTTAAGAGCTGGGCTCAGTTTGCCCCACTTCAGTCCTACCTGTTTGCTCCTGCACTTCCCAAGGATATGAGGGAGTGTAAGCTCCACATGTGACTGCTTCCATTTCTGGAAACTCTGGTTCCCGGTAGGCCAAGCAGA